CCGCATTTTATTTTTTGATAAGGGAGTACACTATGGCCAATTTTGCATGAAACTGAAACGTATATACATGTATTCCATCCCAGCTCATGAACGTATCTTTTAGCTGAGCTTTGGGCTGGATGCAGCCCTTAGGCCAGGGCCTGAATCCGCCACTGTATAACTGCCCCATTAAATAACTGTTCACGAATATATTGTTCTATCAGACTGCAAACATATATAAAATTATATTGAACAACCTTTTTTAACTTATATTTGTATTCTTTCCTGGGCAATTTATATATTTAGTGCTTGGTACGTATATACGCAAAATGGTCACCGCAGTTTGTGTACGGACAATACCGATGATAGGCGAAATATGGAAACATTCCGTTGATCTCGACTTGTTCTATAGCATTAGGAAAATTAATATAAATCGTTTTATCTGATTTGTTTTTTATCTCGTGCGCACGACTAAATACTCTGTTCCAATGACTTAGTAACTCGTGGCCACGACATAGTATCTCGTTCCCTCGACTTAATTATATCGTGCCTACGACTAAGTACCTCGTGGCCACATCATAGTGTCTTGTGCTCATGAGATAAATAAAACACACACATGTCACCGTAACCAGATTATACGGCCGAGATTCTTTCTAAATTATATTTCATGTTTCTTAAAAAAAACGATTATTATGGAAAGCCATAGCCGCCTCCTATATACATTCTAAAGTGTTGATAACATGTTGTGATTTTGCTAATTTATGATGTCGTTATGGTCGTATGGTGATATACGAATCGTTATATGGTGCTGTCGTTTGGATAGATGGTGCTATTGTTTTCATATATGGTGATACCGGTTTGATAGATTGTGATGTTATAAAAGCATATGTTGCTGCGACTTAAATTATAGATGGTGATGTCGTTTCAATATATGACAAGAAAAGCATTGATGCAAAGCATCAAAGGGCGTCCAAGCAAGAAATGCAGCAAGTGAAGATGAACTAGTAGACATATGATGACAAGATATTCTTATAAACTTTTCAATGGTTTTTACCAGAATTGTATATCACTTATGAATGAGCGGACGAAAGACATTGTTCATTATGAACTTTGATTGGCATGCTAGAGATTAGAATATTACTTGTTATTTCTTTATGACCGTGGTTATTAATAGCAACGGATTTTGTGTGTTTGCGTTTATTTACCCTCGCCACTGGAAAGAGACCATATGGGCGAGCAACGGATATACATGTATACAATCATTTTAGTCCATATGTTTAACGCATGATCAACACCACACTTGTGTAATTGTCCCTTATTATGTTATCGCTATTAGCGAAGACTCCCTCTTAAGGTATCTATTCACACTTAGTAAAAATATGGCACTGGCTATATTACCATGTTGATCATGTTGAGCATAATTGTTTATTATACAATAATTGTAATATCTATTAATTTTGAAAAAAAATACAGATTTTATGAATATTGTTTTCTTTTCTTTTTTGTGTTTTATGTGCTATTTTATGTTTACATACTTTTTTAAATTTAAATTGTAAAATAAATTTTAAGAATTCAATTGTCATATTGACCGACGATTATAAGTAAAAAATTAACTGGAAAAAGTCAGTAAATAATGGTTAATCTTTCAATATATAATATTGTTTATTCTTATATTCTTAAACCATGTACATTTGTATTTTTCTTTATCATTTTTTAAATTATCAATCAATTGAATAATTCATAAAATCTAATTTGTAACTTTGATTAATTCCTCGGCATCTTTACTAACCACGAATAACAAATTAAATAAAATGTTTCAAAGTTGATAGTGTCGTATTAATACCATAAAAATGTACTTTTTTTCTCAATTATTGTACATATTTATTGTTTTTATCTCATAAAGATAAAACGAAACATGCTATTGTTGTTGCTCTTGTTGGGTTTTTTTCGAATTGTATGTTTATGTATAAAAAAATCAATAAATTTGAAAGTTGATCTGTGTTCATTAATTATTGTAACCAAATTAACTGACAAACATTCATTTTGGAAAAAAAGCTTATTTATCTGTAAATTATTTGTTCTGTTCTGTAACGATATCAAACATCTACTCCAAAACCGGGAGAGACCGGACAATAAACGTGTGGTCACTAGTAAATCCCGGTCAAAATAGACCGGGAGAGACCGGGAATTACCGATAGGAGCACATCTCTCTATAAATAGATTTTCGGAATATTTAGGTCATCAACTCATCATTCTATTTACAGCTTTCGGATAAATGTACAACAATAACATACCATAATAACCCACTGAGTAAATAAAAAAAACGAAGAGCGCGATTTATTGACGGAAAAGGTTATTTCATTTGAAAATGTTTGCAAGTTCGCTATTCATTGTACCACGGATTAATTAATAATCAAGAATCGGAATGATCGGCTTTTATTATGACCGACTAAAAGGCTCGAGAAGTTGCTGTCGCCCTTTCACAAAATCTGATTTCATTCCATAAAGGGGCGCCGCGCCTCGGCGCGGACGCCAATGATGCCATTTTGAAAGATGGTGATGGAGTTTCCATATATTGTGATGTGGTTCTGCTTTATGGTGCTATGCTGTTTTTAGATCTAATGCTGTTGTTTCGGTGTCTGGTGAGGTCATTTGGAACCATATACATGATAACAGAACCATACATGAAAATCACAGCACAGTCTAACAAAATAAGATCACTTTATACCAAAATTACCAAAATGATACCATAACCGATTAAGATCAGAATACCATTTCTTGGAACCATATCACCATCTATCAAAATTACATCACCTTCATCAAAATGACATGACCATATATCAAAATGACATCGCCATTTATCAAAATCACAGCACAGTATATGAAAACAGAGCACCATATACTATAATGTCAGCAACATTTATCAAAACAACATCACAATTTATCAAAGCTACAGTACCATCTATCTAATCGACAGTACCATAAACCAAAACTACTTCACCATATATCATCACCACGTCACTTTATTGAACGCCGCCTTTCCTTGTTGATCTTGTTTATCATATTTTATATGAAAACGACATCACCATCTATCAAAACCATATAGCACCAGACATCTATAAAAGCATCAGTAATTACTATACATGTACCGGTATATCATTATCACGGTACCATTTATCTAAAAGATGCCACCACTTTAGATATGTGTATATACTCGGTTCCTATGATATCACGGGTTCTAGGATATCACAGTATTTACATGTTCTGCAACTACTAGTAAAAGTAACATATGACATAGCCTAGCAAACAAATTATGCGCTTAAGGGCTTTTTATTATATAGACGATGTCCGCCCTTCGTAAATACCAACATCTGTGTAATATCAATTTGTACAGTCGCTCGGTCTTGCTGTCGAATTATTCAGATTACAAATGACAATGCTATTATTTTCAAAACTGTCACATAAAACTACACAGCATCGGTCAATAAATTTCAGTTTGTGAATAATGAATATTCGGGGAGAAAAACTTTTTTATATTTGACTTCCATATCCCTTAATTATTACTGTGTAATAATCTAATATACTGGCATATCATCTATTCGTATAGCTTGAATTTTATAGTAAGTTAACTGTTGGAAGTTTTCCACATCATTTTGACCCATCTGTCCTTTTTTACTTGCATTTTTGGGGAAGACCGTGATGCCGTAGTAACCTCTGTAATCACCTCAAATGGCAATCGCAACTTGTCAATCTTCGGATAAGGACCTCGAACACAATTGTATGAATACACACAACGGATACGGTATTTCGTTCTACCTTACGCTAAAAAACTATACATGTAACAATTAGTATTTTTTAATGCTGGGAGATTTTGACAAACTTATTTCCAATATTGGAAGTAAAAGTCCACCTAAACTAACTGAATTCATAGAAACAAATGCAAACAATACATTATTTATTTATTATTATGATTGTAGAAACCGAAAGTACAAAATGCCAACCTGTTGAGATTTAGTCGGATTTGTTTAAATTGTACACCAGTGGGCATTTTGAAATTCAAAATGGTTTTCAAACATATTTTCAGAAACAAACTATATTTTTCTTTGGATGTCAAAATAGAGAGAATATGAAGATAACACTCTCTGTTTCTGTTTACATCTGAAACAACGTGGTATATCTACTTTCAATCCGAATTTACTCCGAGGTCATAATTAATTATAGCCGAGGATGTTCCGATTGCCAAAATGGCTGACTATTTCCATAGTTTTAAAAATAAAAGACAATTTTATTGAATATCTTGAAATAGAATTCGACAAACAGTTTTGGAAAAGGATCACTTATTTAAAAGAAGAGAAATCTCATTCATGTATGATTTTTTATATATATTTTTTTTTTGATAAATGTTAAGTACCGTGCCCAGGCTATAAGGCAGTTATGGCGCTCCATAGATATATTTTGCCAGTCCATGACACCTGGTTACTATTTATAGTTTAATGTTCATTACAGTTGTCAGTGCATTTCAAATTTAGTAATGACCGAGGCAACCAAAAGTTGACTTTTTGTTATAGAAAGATTGCATAGAGTAAAATATGAAGTGAGATGCTCAGTGAAACAGTAAAAGAGGTATATTTGAGACATTTTGTATGAATTTCAGTAAAATATTTCCTACAAATTATTAAAAGGTGTGTTCGTCTGCTATTTTAGTTAAAAAGGGCAGACGAATACAATTTGTATCAATTTCAACATTTTTGTATGTCCTATTTCTATTAGAAACTATTATAAAGTAATGTTAAGGAATAATTAAAAAAAACAACTTTTTTTGAAATTTTGTTTCTGAACGATTTTTGTTGGCTTTTCTTTTCTTTATTAGTGAGGCTAATTGTGTTTTATATACATGTATTACAATATATATGTACACACTGACACCTTTATAATTAATTAATTAATCATATCAGTGTTTGTTTGTTTTTATTTCATCACCTGAATGAATAATACTAATATATCAATTATTTCTATTTCAGATCTGAAGGATGAACTTATAGCATGGTACAACACCTATCAGAGTACAGTTCCTCTTTCACCACTCACAGATGATTCCCATACCCCTCTAGCTGGGTTCTACATTATGCCAGAAATTGACATACAGACGAATCTTCCAGGTGGAAGGAAAGAAACAACTAGAGTCAAGTCGTTACATGACCTGTTTACATCGGGTAGAAAAGTTCCAAGGGAAATATATTTATCAGCGGTCGCTGGATTTGGGAAAACAGCATTTTCAAAATATCTCGCTATAACATGGTGTCAAGCTAATAAAATGGATGAAAATTATAACCATTTTAAAAAAGAAGAATTGGAGGCAATATCTGGCTTTGAGTTTTTATTTCTAGTGCTATTGAGAGACGTAGATACAGAATGTGATGTTGACAACATGATTGAGCAACAAATCATAAATAATCTTCGTTGTAAATCTGAAATACCAAAAACTCTTTTAAATGACATTTTACGCAATGAAAAATGTCTTGTTATACTGGATGGACTTGATGAATGGTTTCATCCTGACAACGATTGTTCAAGACTTCCAAAAAGTATTCCTCATCGGTATGCACGTGAAAAGTGTGTAATCCTAACAACGACCCGGCCATGGAAGCTTGGAGTCTCAAACTTGAAGATTTATCAAGTAGACAAAACAGTGGAGCTAGTTAAACTAGATAAACAAAATGTAAGGCAGTTTAACCTAAACGCAATGCAAATATTGAAAGGCACCGTTGAAGAAGAAAAACTGATCAATGAAGTTTGTAGATTTGAAGAGGAAATTAGAAACCATGACCTTGATGATATGGAATCCACCCCTCTCCTGTTGCTATATCTTATATGTTTATGGATTGCAAAAATTCCAATAGGAAATTCTGCAGTAGAATTATATACAGGCATTATACAGCTCCTTCTATCTAGAACAGAAAAGTTACATGGAATGTTTCATTCATCATGTGAAACATCCCCTAGTAATGTTCCAGAATGTTTCAGAAAACATCAACATTTCTGTCGTTACTACACATTTCTGGTGACCATTGGGAAACTAGCTTTTAATACATTGTTCAGTAAGAAAAAAGAGCACACATTAGTTTTTGATGAAAATGTTGCAAAAAAATATCTAAACCTAGAAGATTTGAAATCAAGCTGTCTATCAGGAATATTATCAGACAGTAAAGTGAAAACATTAATAAATGAATGTTCTAAAATCTCATTTTCTCATAAAACAGTGCAGGAATACTTTTCAGCAATATTTATAAGTTTTCAAAATACAAGTGAAGTTCAAAAAATTATTTTTGAAGAGTGCAACTGTTTACAAAATATTCTAGACATGTCAAAAGTGTTTGTCTTTATTAGTAACATGAACCCTAAATTAATGTCTACAATATCAAGTGATTTGATGCCTGTAATAAACAATGATGAAAAAACAAGCAAATACAGAACTACTACACGTTATAATTACATGTACATTGATCCATTACAAGACATACAAGACATGTACATTTCTTGTGCCAAAGAAAGCCATGAAAACAAAGACCTAAATTTGTGCTTACAAGATTTCTTCATTAATGAAAAATGTAAACAAGAAAACTACTTCAAACAATTACAACATCTGTGTCAACACAATAAAGAAAACATAAAATCAATAACGATACAAAATAAAGGTATTTGTAGTCTACAAAAAATTATCAGTTTGTTAACACTCGCTGACCTTCCACATATAGAGAAATTAATCTATGGAGGTGAAATTGAAGAAGAGGAAATAATGAGCTTGTTATTGAAGCCTTTAAAATGTTTAACTGTGATATCACGGAAATGGGAAAATCATGATTTTGTAGGAGAAGTTTGCCGGTTGTCTGCAGAGATAAATGGAGGACTGGTAAAATTACAACACCTGGAGTGTTTATGTATAGACTGTTTCACTATGACTCACGAGGTAATGGAGACATTGTTAAATCTCCTCACTAGTAAAAAATCAATGAATCAAATAATATTGTACAATTTAGAATGTAGTGATCATGATACTTCATGTAGGGGATTCAACCTTGACCTGTCTCAACATTCACAACTAAGAAATTTAGGATTGGTCAGGATACCTGTGTCACAATTAAATATGGATGTATCATTGTTAGAGGAATGTGATGTAGGTGAATTATATAAACCTGGTGTTGTGTCATCTTATCTCAGTCAACTACCAGCAGCCAGTAAACTACATACATTTACGTGTAGTAAACTAGAATCTTCCAGTGACATAGAAACAATGTTACAAATATTATCATTGTTATATCATGTGAAAGATGTTAGGTTGTGGGGAATCAATCTAGGTGAAAGATCATTAACACTGTCACCTCAAATGATCAATATTGAACGTGTTTTCTTGTTGTATATAACAATGTCTTGTTCAGTGTTACATGATCTCATTACTGTTATAAACAAACTACCACATACAGTGACAGTAGGTATGGCAGGTTGTGATATAAAACCAGAAACAGAATTTGAAAACTTTAAAACATTTATAAAACAATCAGACAATTTTGTGGTCACCTATGATGGCACCGGGAAGTCTGGAGAGTATGGGTTTGAGTTTAAAAAAACAACAACAAGTACTGGATAACCTTACATGAACTTGTGAGAAACAATTTATAAATAGATTATGAGACATTTAAGTGACAGTAAATGGGCCAATTGTGTTAGCATCTTAGTCAACAAATAAAGTTAAACATACAAGGAAATGTTTGCTCTTTTTAAGAACCTTAGGATGTCTGTAACAATATTTTTGGGATGAAAGGATAAGTTTTTAAATACTTTTTTCAAAATATTAAATCTTATGCAGTGTCGGTAGGGGACGGATGTTACAAAGATATATACTAAAACTTAAAAAAGTCTGAATATCTTAAAATTTATAATAAAAATTGTATTGTTTCTCTTTATTTTATTAATATAGTATGTATTCTGAAAAGTCTGTCACAAAATTTTTTCAGAAAATTCATCTTAGATATAAAAATATTTGCTTTCAAATTGTCAGCATTTTTCCCCCGCAAAATTAAATCTTCAAACATGTTAGAAACATGTTTGTAGTAAAAAAGACAAGGCTAGGTACATCAAACCATACTTAAATCAAATATGCAAACACATTTTTTTTAAAACATTTAAAATTATAGGACTTTCTTATGTATATTTCTTGTCAGATAATCCAGAAATGAATTGTATCAGGGGGTGGATGTTACATTTTTTTTTTGGGGGGGGGGACGGATGTTACACTAGATGTTTAAAGCTGATAGTTCATACTTTCTTTTGGTTTTATTATAAAGTAATAAAATTTCTAAGAGTATTATGCTTTGTATAGTACAATAAATGTATAATAATTGAACAAATTATGAGAAAAATGTAGAAATATACCTGACAATTATGGAGTTTCTTACTTTTTGCGTTTCACAATGAAAAGATGCATTGCGTTAGTTGTCTTCCAGTTATCTTACATTTGAATGAACTTTGAAATGTTTGGATTAAAATAAGATCATTGCTTATCGATTTGATGAAACTTTAAGTAAATTAATGTGGAAAATAAGCAGCATAATCCAAAGATTTCATTATGATTCAGTGTCATAAGCTAATTGTACCCCCACCACAAAATGTGGGAGGGGGCTATAATGGATTCGCTTTGTCGGGTCGGTCGGTCACTCCATCTGTCTCCATTTTCGTGTCCGCTCTATAGATCCTATACCAATTTAAGGATTTTCTTCAAACTTGGCTCAAATGTTCACCTCAACAAGGGGATGTGCAGAACCCATGTTGCCCATGTGTCAGCTCAAGGTCAAGGTCACAATTGAAGGTCAAATTATATCAAACACAATCAAATATTAGACAGTATGTCGTGTCCGCTCTGTAAGTCCTACACTAATTGAAAGTTTTTCTTCAAACTTGGCTCAAATGTTCACCTCAACAAGGGGATGTGCAGAACCCATGTTGCCTATGTGTCAGCTCAAGGTCAAGGTCACAATTGGAGGTCAAATATCAAACAATCAAATATTACACAATATATCGTGTCCGCTCTGTAATTAAATTTTTGCTTCAATCTTGGCTCAAATATTCACCTCAACAAGGTTATATGCAGAACCCATGTCACCCTATTGCCGGCTTAAGGTAAAGGTCACACTTGAAGGTCAAAAATTGACTTAGAAAATATTCTTAAATTTTAACATGTAATTATTTGAATATATCTGAAACTAGAAAAGGTATTTGCTTGAAACTTAAAATATATATGAAGTGTCACAATTTAGATATGCTTTTCAAGTTTCATAACTCTGTATTGCATTTTAACAAAGTTATGCCCCTTTTTAAGTCTTAAATTTACATACAATCAAATATTAGACAATATGTTGTGATCACTCTATAAATCCTATACTAATTGAAAATTTTCTTCAAACTTTACTCAAATGTTCACCTCAACAAGGTTATGTGCAGAATCAATGTCACCTTTGTCATGTGCCGGCTAAAGGTCAAGGTCACACTTGAAGGTAAAAAAATGACTTTGAAAATGTACTTAAATTTTCACATGTACTTGAATTTTTCTGAAACAAGAAAAGGTATTTGCTTGAAACTTAAAAGATATATGAGGTGTCACAAATAAGATATGCAGGTCAAGTTTTATAACTCTGTATTGCATTTTGACAAAGATATGCCCCTTTTTATCTTTTTTTTTTTTTTTTTTTTTTGAAAAAAAATGTAGAGGTTTTGTTATAGTCGCGGCGGCGTTGCTTTTTTTATTTCTTGGTGTATTGTCTTCATACTTGGTCACAGCAACCCTTGGGACAAGACCTTTCAGTAGATCACACTAACTTTGCCTTCATCCATAAATGACCTTGACCTTCAAGGTTAAAAGTCCAAATTTTGCTTGTTCATGCTGTTATTGGCTGTAACTTTGTTATTTTTGAATGGATTGTCTTCAAACTTGAACATAATAATCTTCAAGGATATACCTTAAAAATAACCAGACAGACATTGACTTTCACTCATTAATGACCTTGACTTTGAAGTTAAAATTATTGAAATTTTCATTGTTTTGGCTGAAACTGGCTGTAACTTTGCTATTATTGAAGGGATCAACTTCATATTATAACAGAACATAATTAAGGACAAGACCTTGTTGTGACATCACCACGTGACTTTACCACGTGACTGCACCACATGACTGCACCACGTGACTTCACCACATGACTGCACTTACTGACTCCACCACGTAACTTAACCACGTGACTCCACCACGCGACTTTACCACGAGACTCAACCATGTGATTTTACCACGTGATTTTACCACGTGACTCTTTCACGTGACTTTACCATGTGACTCCACCACATGACTCTACCACGTGACTTTACCACGTGACTCCACCACATGACTTTACCACGTGACTGCACCATGTGACTGCACCACATGACTTTAAATCGTGACTCTACCACGTGACTTCACCATGTGACTCCCACGTGACTTTTTGACGACGTGACTCCACCACGTGACTTTACCACGTGACTCCACCACGTGACTCTACCACATGACACCACCACGTCACTCCACCACTTGACTGCACCACATGACTTTAAATCGTGACTCTACCACGTGACTTCACCATGTGACTCCACCACTTGACTTTACCACGTGATTTTTACGACGTGACTCCACCACGTGACTTTAACACGTGACTCCACCACGTGACTCTACCACATGACACCACCACGTGACTCCACCACGTGACTCCACCACGTGACACCACCACGTGACTTCACCACGTGACTCCACCACAAGACTCCACCACGTGACTTCACCACGTGAATCCGACACGTGACTTCACCAAGTGACTCCACCACGTGACTTTAACACGTGACTCCACCACTCTACCACGTGACACCACCAGGTGACTCCACCACGTGACTCCACCACGTGACTCCACCATGTGACTCCACCACGTGACTCCACCACGTGACTCCACCACTTGACTCCACCACGTGACTCCACCACGTGACACCACCACGTGACTCCACCACGTGAATCCGACACGTGACTTCACCAAGTGACTCCACCACGTATATATAAATTAGTATGCTTATATATAAAAAATATATAGACAAACCTAATTTGACAAGACAGAATGATTAATTTTATAAAAAGGAAACGTTAAGATTTTGTTCAAACATTTCTTTGTTTGCTTTTAGAGAAAGTAAAAAGTCGAGCGTTGCCCCCGCCCGGCGGTGGCTCTTGTTTTTCATATAATATGGCTAATATAAAATTTGACTTTTCAAAACCTGTCACAATTCTCCCTAGAATTTGCTGTTATAGCTTTTCTCTGAATGATGAAAAATGTGATATCACAAATTCAAAATTGTACCAGTTCATGTTAAATGTTGAATTCTGCTTAAGCTGCTACTAGGGGGCGTGGACGGTAGTTTGCACTTAACAGTACCGTCGATGAACAGGCTCAATCAAACTGAGCCTGTAACATTTTTCATTATGCCGTTTTGAGCTTTCTTTACGGATTCTTATTTTATAAACATGTGTACATGGAATTGAAAAAAATAAACTCTGTTCTTTCAATGTGACATTACAGTAAACATTTGCACAAAAATAAGCTACGAAATCTTTACCAAATTCACAGAATATAAACATGTTTTAGAGCATTATAATGTCTTACAACTTTCTAAATATATGTGAGAGACCTGATAATAAGTATGTCAATTCAAAATGCTTCTGACATTGGTTATTGTAAGATTGTTATTTTAAAACTTTGATTTGTTTTGTATTTTCAGCATTATGTGTATTCCTTCTTCCAAGAAATGGGCAGATTCACAAAAGGCTTCAATTAATCCAAGAACTGACATTCATGTGGAATTTTCTGTAATTATGATATGAACAAAATCAAAGACTACAAAATGGGTCCTAAACTAACATAATGTGTCACATCGGATTCATGAACAGTACATGTATGGATAAATTTTGCATGAATACAAATACTGAAGTCACGTAGTGTAATGACGTCAAGCAATTGTTTGCAGATACTGGTATTTATTAAATATTATATAACAGTTGATTTTAACATTACTCTTCCAAACTTAGGACTCCAGCCAATCATGAGATGATTAGTTAATAGTTAAACTAAATGAGTACTTGGCACTTAATTATTACCAGAGAGTTGCAGTCATTGTATTGTTTAAAACATGGATATACAACTCAGACAATTCAAGGCATGAAAAAATCCTACTTGTGCAATATTGCGTTATATTAACTCTCAGGAAAATTTATTTAGTGAATATATAATGTATACATATATATTTGTATAGACATTTTACTGTATAGTATGTATAGTATGTGCATTATTTATATTCATGTATAATATGTAAATATACATTGCTGTAATATAGAACTGCTAGTCAATATTTGTACAAAAACTATTTTTAAGTTAGATTGTTAAAAGAAACATTATGCCCAACCAAATGCATGTAATGAGTGAGTGAGTGAGTTTTATTTTTAAAAAATATACGGTCATTTCATCTCAAAGTGACAATGAAAAAATTACGTCACTGTCACTTAAAAAATGTACATGAATGTCCACTTAAACGTGATAAATCATATTTTTGTGTTATCTTTGAAATCATAGTTAATGCTTATCAGTTGTTAATGGAAAGAAACAGTGTAATATAATTACAAATAACTTTTATACATGTATATGATTTTTTAGACAAAGTGAATTAAGATTTATTTTCATTAATATGTTGAAGATTTTTTTCATGCGACAGCTTATCAAGTTGTGTTTCTATTCAAAGTTACAAAAGTATTGTTTTCTAATATGTTTTAACTCAACTTTTTTTAGAAAAGAGAGGTACTGTAACAGTCATGTTGGCGCAGCCGTCCGCAAACTTGTACTTGATAATAACTTTTTAAGTTCTTAGTGTACTGTCTTCATACTTGGCCACTACAACCCTTGATACAATACCTTTTAGTAGGCTTGACTAACCTTGACCTTCGTTCATTAATGACCTTGACCTTCAATGTCAAATGTCAAAATTTAGATTCTTTCTTGCTAAAAGCTAGTGGCTATAACTTCACACTTGAACATAATAATCTTTTAAGATAGTCCTTTAAGTTAACCAGACATACTTTGACCATCACTCATGAATGACCTTGACTTTGAAGGTCAAATTAATTATTTTTTGCTGTAACTGGCAGCAACTTTACTATTGAAGAGATTGAATTCATAGTATGACAGAATATTCTTTAGGATAATTAAAGCATTCATGTATTTCAAACTCAAATTGACCTTGGCTCTTTAATGACATTGACCTTGAAGGCTAACTGATTATCGCTATAATTATCTGTTACGTTGTAATTAATCCACGGATCTATAGATTATTAAGCTGATTATATATATATAATAAGGAAAACTAAATTTTTTTCTTTAATACTCAAGATTAGTTCAAGCCATTTATTTGTTTGCTTTTAAAAAGGTCGAGCGTTGTCACTGCCCGGAAGTGGCTCTTGTTTATGAGTTGCTGTAAATAGATTTTAATGCCCCACCACAAAATGGCCGGGCATAAAGTGTTACCCTGTTTATTATGGTTAAATGATTTTTGGCAGAGTAATGCCCCGTTAAATTTGAAAAAAAAAAATTTCATTATCTCCCTAATGGTTGTTCACACTTAACTCAAATTTGCCATATGTCATAGAAATACTCAAGTCAAGTTCGAAATAGGTCATGGTTTGATGATTTTTGACAGAGTTATCTGTCTTGAACTTTGTAGAAATAAGATTTTCCCTTCATTATCTTCCCAACAGCTTTACAAATTCGAAAGAAATTTTCCACACGGATACGTTAAGAGAAAGTTCAGGTGAAGTTTGAATTTGGTCATGCCTTGTTGATTTTTGGCAGAGATATGCCCCTTTAACTGTGAAAAAATAAGATATTTTCAGTTTTTGTTTATTATCTACCAAACAGATGTACACATGGAACCCAAATTTAATATATTGATATGTCATAGGTATACGCAGGTCATTTTCGTATTTGGTCATGTTTCGATAGTTTTTGACAGAGTTATGATCCTTGAACTTTTTGGGAAAAAAGAGGAAGTCGTCAATTTCTGTTCATTATCTCCCAAATAGTTGGTCACATTCGACTCAAATTTGACTTACATATAATCACAGAAATAAGCAGGTTTGTATTTGGTTTTAGTTCGATGATTTTGGTCAGAGTTATCCCTCTTGAAAGTTGGAAAAAATACTTTTTAAGTAATGTATGTATAATGTTGAAATGTACATGTGCAGGTATTAATAAGAAAATACAAGTTTTGAAGTTAAGTTAAATTTTTAAATTTGGTCCGATGAGTTATCATTTTTGAACTAAGAAAAAAAAAAGAAATTTATGTTTGAGCTCTAATATTGTATAAGATTAACATTTTGGTACATGATTTATTACAAGATTTATCTTTGTTGGCATAGTTAAATGCAATATTTGTATGAGTGTACAGAGATAAATGTAAGATTATTATTTGTGTACATAATTTTCAACAATATTTGTATTTGTGTACATAAATATTTATCAGATTGTATAAGATTTGTATTGTGTACATGAGTTAAAGAAGATGTGTATTTCTTTGCTTGATTTTCTTTAAGATTTGTAGTTGTGTACATAGATAAAATTAATGTAAGATTTGTATTTATGTTCATAATTTTTAACAAGATTTGTATTTGTGTACATATTATTTATCACATTGTATAAGATTTGTATTGTGAACATGAGTCATAGAAGATGTGTATTTGTTTGCTTGATTTTCTTTAAGAACTGTATTTGTGTACATAGATAAATGTAAGATT